CCCCGGAAAGGGCTGTCAGGCGTTGGAAGGGGCTGCCCAGGGAGGTGGTGGAGTCCCCATCCCGGGAGGGGTTTCAGAGCCGTGTGGACGAGGCGCTTGGGGACACGGGGTAGTGGGGGGCTGGGCACTGCTGGGGTGACGGCTGGACTGGGTGATCCTAAAGGTCTTTTCCGACCCAAATGATTCTATAATACTGTATGTGGGGGTAACTAGTTGCTCTCTGCTTTAACATTCCCCTTCCCTATGGTTAAAAAGGCGTGACCCCTCACTTCACCCACCAGACCAGTGAGGTGCAGACAGGTTTTCCTGGAAAACCACCTGCCAGCTTCTTCTTTTCATACTCCCTGTGTTCTTCTTCGCGTGGCCCACACAGTCTTGTTCTTTGACAGAACCAACCCTGCTCGAAGGGGAGCTTTAGTCTCGTGTCTGAGCTTTTCGCCGTGATACACCCACCTGCATGATAGTGTAAAAAATAAATCAGTCGGATTTATGTAATATATGAATATAATAATAATCGTAGCCTCGCCACCAGGATGACCAGGCTGCAGGTTGTGCTCCATCTCGGCACCAGCTCTTTTCTGGTCCTTGGCGTTTCTCGCTTGCAGCCAAGTGCGGTGATGCTTTTCTTCCTCTTGGGCTTTGCAGCAACACTTTTGTCTTGGAGTACTGCGGGGAGGTGCTGGATCACAAAGAGTTCAAGGCTCGCGTGAAGGAATACGCCCGCAACAAGAACATTCACTATTATTTCATGGCCCTGAAGAATGACGAGGTGAGATTGCTGCGCTGGGCTTTGGGGGAGGCTGGGTTTAGCCCTGGTTACGTACGGTGCCGACTCCCCGCGAAGCCACTTGGCAACATCCTGGATCTGTTGGGAATGTTTTTCCGAGGACAGGAAACTTGGGCTGGATTTGTGTTGTCAGGCCTTTGGTGTTTTTTAACCCATTGCTCAGTTTCAGCCTGGTTTAACAGAAATGCGGTAGCTTAACTGCATCCCGGTGTCCTTGGAGGGGAGAAATGGTCCTCCCAAGGGGAAGGATGGAGTATGGCCCATCCCTTCCATGCAGACCTCTGTGGGTCTGTGTCCCAGCTCTGGGAGATGCTTCAAGCCAAACTCCGTGTTTTTGGGTGCCCAGGTAAACCAGTGTGGAAAATACACCAACACACCATGTTTCCTCCCTCCCCTTGCTCACAGAGCTGCACTAAATCAGGCTGTTTTCAGCCCGTGGGGTCCCCACGTGCAGCATTACTGTCATTAAAAATCTTCATATAACCAAAAGTCTTAATTTTTGATCTTTGCTTAGCAGCCCCTGTCGGTGCGGGGAGCCGCGGCGCTGTGAGCGCGGCGTTGCGTATGTTGAGCAGGGAGCCCTCCCTTGCTGAGAGAAAAGTGAATAAATAGAAATTTAATACCCTATTCTGCTTGTCGCTGCTGCCAAGAGTTTCTGGGTCTGGGTAGCTTCACAGTAATTGAGCTACAAATACTCGGAGGGCTTTTTTCCTCTTTTTTCCCCCCACCCCTGCCAGACTAAGCAGGTTTTTTTTAGCTGCCGTGGAATTGTTCCGTGATCACAAGGGGGCACAGGGGAGCGTTTCCAGTTATTAAAAGGAGGAGGCAGTGGTCCAGGAGGTGACCTTTCTGTTAGAGTACGATGCGTGTGGCTTCCCCAGCCCTCATGGTCGTTGTACCACGGGTCAGAGGGTCACAACCCGCTGTTAAAAATCCAGGATCCGTGCCCAACTGATGAATTCTGTGGTCACCTGCGATGAAAACCAAGGACCTCTTGATTGAGGGCGCTTAATGTCGTTATAAAACCCGTTCTGCAAACCAAATA